ATAGCATCACCAAATCCCCACAAATTGATTTTCCCTGAAATTGCTTAACATTCAATTTGAACTTGATTTTTTCCTATGCCTGCTTCTGAGAACTACTGGTATAATATTCTGAAGTCTACTAATTAGTTGACTGTTGGTCTGCTGGCGGGTCTTTGAAGTGCATGTGGTAGTATATGAAGAGTTTCAGCGTTCTGCTCTATTTGTAGTTTAATCAAATATTTCTGTTAGGTTTAGACTTTCTGATCCATTTTCTAGTGCTTCAGAATTATTTGGCACAGGGTTAGATCTTTGCATGTTGTCCTTGTACCTGTTCTCTCCAGCTACCAGCTTCCCTCAGCTTCTCTGCTGGTTAAGTTAACTGGCAATTATAAATTCCATTTTCTCTTCACTTATATTTGACTTCCTATTTTTCACCTGGTTTTCTGTTCCCCACCTGCAGAGGTTCTGCAACCAACCAAAGGCTCTACGCCCCATAGTTTAAGAACCACTGGTATAATATATTGCAGCCTGTAATTTAGCTGGCTATTTGTCTATTGGCGGCTCTTTAAAGTGCATATATTAGACTAATCAGAGTTTCATGCTTTTGTTGAATTGGTTCAGACCGTTCTCATCCCCAAAGGCATCAATTAAAGCTGTTTTGTTAAAAGCTTACGTGGCTCATTAAGTCAGAAGGTGTCCTTTTGGTGGGTTGTGCTCTTATGGCATTAGTGAGATGGGGCTGTCACTCCCAACTCATCAGCAGGTTTGCCAGGAGCATATTTTAAACCAAACCCCAATCTTTTACTGAATTTAGTTTTCAGTGCCTAAGCCTAACCAACAGGCGACAGTGAAAGTAACATGTAAAAAAAAAAGCTAAAGAGAAAAGCACAAAGGTCCCAAAAGGAAATCTGCGAGATCCTCTTTCCTTACAAACATGCGATTTATGCAGCTGTCACTGCTCCAGCCTCCTAATCCTGACTTTGTAAGGACCATTATCTATGGTGACACTGACACAGCTGATTCTAACACACTAAGACTCATGTATACTGCAGAGGCACAAAGACATCTCAAAAAATGGAATTATATTATACCCAGGGATCCAAATGTGCGACGTGCAACATCGCTACAATCTCCTACCCCCCAACAAAACGATGTTTCCATTATTGCTGCTTTGAACTAGAGCTTAGAAATAGGAGTTGTAGTTTCAGTGTTAAGAGTATATGATAGAGAGAAGATAAATGTAGCCCACCTGACACCACAGATGGTTTGTGAACTGCTTTTAAAAAAGGCCTAGATTTGAAATTGTAATTTTGTTGCCATTTTTTAACTAGACAGCAAGACAACAAGTGGGTAGAGCTCGAGAGTTATCATCTTCATCCATCCATCCATCCATTCACTTCCGCTTATCCTTTTCAGGGTCACGGGGGGCGCTGGAGCCTATCCCAGCTGTCATAGGGCGAGAGGCGGGGTACACCCTGG